CTCACGGGCATGGGTGCCACTCAAGACACCCTGCCCCCGCCCGCCGCGCGCCGCCCGTCCTCGGGGGGCCCGTGCCAGGCTGAGCGCGACGACAGCGACTGCGAGGAGCCCGTGGAGGCCTCGGGCTTCGCCTCTGGGGAGGTCTTTGATTCCAGCCTCCCCCCCACGGACGACGAGGACTTTTACACCACTTTCCCCTTGGTCACGGACCGCACCACCCTCCTGTCGCCCCGCAAGCCTGTGCCCCGACCCAACCTCAGGACAGATGGGGCCACGGGCGCCCCCGGGGTGCTACTTGCGCCCTCCGCCCCAGCCCCCAACCTGCCTGCGGGCAAAATGAACCACCGAGACCCGCTGCAGCCACTGCTGGAGAACCCACCCCTGGGGCCCGGGGTCCCCACGGCCTTCGAGCCGCGGCGACCGCCTCCCCTGCGCCCTGGCGTGACCTCAGCCCCCGGTTTCCCCCGTTTGCCCACAGCCAACCCTACGGGGCCGGGAGAACGCGGCCCCCCGGGCGCGGTGGAGGTGATCCGCGAATCCAGCAGCACCACGGGCATGGTGGTGGGCATCGTGGCGGCGGCGGCGCTCTGCATCCTCATTCTTCTCTATGCCATGTACAAGTACCGCAACCGGGACGAGGGCTCCTACCAAGTGGACCAGAGTCGGAATTACATCAGTAACTCGGCCCAGAGCAATGGGGCGGTGGTGAAGGAGAAGGCCCCTGCTGCCCCCAAGACGCCCAGCAAGGCCAAGAAGAACAAAGACAAGGAGTATTACGTCTGAGCACCCAGTCCAGGCACCGCGCCCCACTGCCAACTGCTCTTCCCGGGAGGGCCCGGGAGGAGGGTGCGGCCCTCTCCCTGCAGGGGGACCTGGAGACCCTCTCCCTGGCTGCCTCAGGCTTCTCCCACGAAGAGGAAACGCAAAAAAGAAAAGGAATATAACTGTGTGCTCATCCCCTTCCCTCCCGCTGCCCATGGCGCCGCACTTCAGCTCTGGGGCTGGCTGTCCTTCTCAGCTCTGCGCCGTCAAGGCAGGGCACGTGCTCACAGCCCTGGGTTGATTTATTTTTTTAAGGGGGGTAGTTTTATTTTGGTGGGGCTGGGCGGGAAGGAAGGCTGGGGTTTTTGTAAAGTGTCCACTGCGCCGTTTGTTTATTTCTCTCGGATTTTTTCCTTCCTCCCTGTTCCTCTGGCCTTCCTTCTCCTTCCCAGCCCTTCTGTCCTGGTTCAGGCTTGCTGTGTCTCTTGTCCCTACCCTCCTTCTCACCCTCTCTTTTTCTTTTTTTTTTAAAATCCTTTTTCTTTTCTTTCTTTTCTTTTTTTCTTCTTCTTCTTCTTCTTCTTCTTCTTCTTCTTCTTCTTTTTTTAAATCTTTAGTTTTCTCTGCTTCCCTCCCATTGGGTTTCCAGAGACGCTGGGAGAAGGAGGGTGGGAGGGTGGGGCCAGAGCGGCCCAACTTGAGTGGCTGGGTCCGGGCAGTGGGGTTCATTCTCCTAGTGCCCCAAGTCCCCTCAAAAGGAGAAGCTCCTGCCTGAAGTCACCCAGGCATAGGGCTTGGGCCTGGCCAAGGCCTGTTGTGTGTGTCGCTGTCGCTGCCGGGCAACGTGCATTTCTGGGAAGCCACTGGAGGAGCGGGGTGGGGGGCGGGGGGAGGGGAAAGGCAAATGCAGATATATATTAAAAACAAATAATCGAGGTACCAGAGCTGTGGTCTGTAGCATCGGCTAGCTGCAGGTGTAGGGAAGGGAGGGAGCAAGGCTGTGTCTGCGGATGGCTGGGGTCACTTCTCTGCCCATGGGCTCCCTGCTCCCCCAGTTTTTTTCTCTTTGTTAACAAATGTGTCTGAGTCTTGGAAAACACCCCAAACCCGGAAATGTGTGGGAAAAAGAAAACAAAAACTTTCCAAATTCCAACAGTCCTGTGTAGTTTGTTCTGGGGTGTGTGCTGTTAGGTCCTGGGTCTGGGCCTGGTCAGGGCCTCAGTGGGTGCACCTGACTGTCGGTAAGTTTTCTCTAAATATTTATGTGTTTAGTGTGAGAAGATGTGTAAGCCCTTAGAGGACATCTTACAGGAAGCAGTTCTCTGCTTCCACTCCGTGGGTCCTGAAGATGGATTCAGGTTTCAGGCTTGGTGACAAGTGGCTTTGCCCACTGCACAGTCACTGAGCCATTTCGCTGGCACCGTTTCCCGGACTTTCGAGTTGAACACAACATCGGGCTATTGGACAGCTGTTCTGTGTCTCACATTTAAGTCCCTGCTGGGCTGAGGTGGGGGACACCTGGGGCTTGTGTGTGGGGTTCCATGACCTTGGCTTCTCAGATGGTAGGTATGTAGCAGCCACTCACGGGGTACAGTCTCTTCTGGTGGCCAGGGTGGCAGTGGCTAGCTAGTTTCTCGGTGCTGTTGATTTTGCCTGGCTCTGCTTCCCACTTGTAGCATGTATACCACCTCCAGCTCCTGAGTCCAGGTGAGTCTCTGTGAGCTTGGCCCCTTGGACCTACTGGCTTCCTGCTCTGCTCGTCCTCTGTGTGGCAGGTCTGGGAGCCTGGGATGATCACACTGACTCACCTGTCTGGGGAGGCTTGGACATGGGGCAGTACTGCCAGGGTGTCCTGTCCCCAGCTGGTCATGCCTCACCCCCGGGGCGATGTGTTACTACTGTTCTCTGCTCCAAGCCCAGGTTTAGACTCCTGTTCTTCACCTCACTGTTAGCTACAGAAAACAGACAGCAGGAGGGCCTTTGTGACAAGAAGGGAAGGAGTGGCCTTGCTCTTACTGGAGTGATTGTTACAGTGACCCTGACTGAGGCTGGATGTATTCTAGGGGTTGAAAGGATGGCTTCGTTAGTGCTGGTTGCCATGTAACTGGGACTCCATCTGCCTCTCAGCATCAGGCCAAGACCTGTCACTCAAGGGCTTGGTTTTCTAAAGAAAGAGTTTTGGATGTCGCTAATGACTCAGTTTACCTTTCCAAAAGGTTCTCTGGGCTTTTCTGTTGGAATCCCAGCAGCTTTGAGGTTAGAGACCCCCACAGTAGGCATCAAAAAAGGGCATATTCCAGATGGGTGTGGGCAACAACCCGAGTTCATCCTCAGCGTTTTGTCAGGTGACGTCAGATGCAGGGAGGCTGTCATTCACCAGAGGGACAGAACCCTTTGTCCTGAAAATTCTCGGCCCCCTGGGTAGATCAGGGGTGGCCATTCTGTATATGGTAGAGGGTAGAGGAACAACTCTGCCTGCTTGTGGAACCAGAAATATTACCTCTCCCTTCTGTCTGGGGAGTATCACTAGAAAGTGTGTGTGTGTGTGTGTGTGTGAGAGAGAGAGAGAGAGAGAGAGAGAGAGAGAGAGAGAGAGAAGGAAAATGGCCAAAGGACATAGTTTCTTAGAGACTCAAGAGCCACATCCAAGGAGCAAAGCCTGCAGGACCAGCGTGTAGGGCAAGGGCTGTCTTCTGTTTCTCATCCATGTTTGTGCACATGGGTACATAATGCAGCCATTTTACTGAGGTACCCGAGAGCAGCACACAGGTAGATGCATAGACCGTGTAAGTGTGCCACAGGTGATGCAGCTGTTGGGCCAGCTACTGACCGCCTGGGCGGCACACTGTCGTCTCTGGGACACTGCGTGGCTTCTCCTGTGAGCAATCTCAGCAGAACCCAGAGTCCTGGCTGATTCTAAGAGGGACAGAGGTCCTGTCGCATGCATTCCTGTCTTTCTCTGTGCTAGATGGCACTGTGGCCAGAGCAGGGCTCAGGAGACATACAGACAAGGGACTCGTGTTCTGATCCTGCCTCCTCCTGGCTGTGTGTTATGGGCAGTCTGTTTCTCATCTGTGAGAAAGGACAGCACATGGCAAGATGCAGAGAGCTCTGATGTGGACTGTGAAAGGGACTGGCGACAGGCACCTGGCTCAGAGCACAGGAGAGCCAGCCTTGGGAACCTATGTGAGAAGGCCTTTCTCCTCCCCTGGCAGAGCCTCAGGGCCCCAGGAGGAGCTGCCATTCCTTTGATTTTATCTTTAGCCAGTCCCTCCTCCATGGCAGCCCTCCAGCAGGCTCTGTGTGAGTGAGGATGTAGGACCAGTGACCCTCAGGGAACCGACCTGCTAGAGGCTGGGAAGAGGCCGATGTGTAGCCCTGACCACGGGTACAATGACACCAGAGTCATGAGCTGTCCCTGAGCCCTGGAAAGGAAGGCCCCAGGGTGGGTCTGGAAGGCTTAGGAGTGTGTTAGATGGGGAAACAGGAAGAAGACCCGGGCAGTCACATGTATGTGACGGGAGTGGGGAGAGGCTGGAGAGAGGCCAGGCCAGCTGACCAAGGGCCTCGGTGACACAGAAGCTGAGACCTTTTGCTCTTGCTGAGTTAAAGAAGAAGATGATCAGTTCTGAGTCCTGGGGCAGGCGGAGTAGTGGGCAGTGAGGATGTGTCCTGTGGTCTTGGCCTCTCTCTGGTGTGCAACCTCAGGGGGAGTCAGGGTAACGGTAGTGTTTGGGGAGCCTTCTATCATTCAGACTGCCCTTTGCCTCATCTGTTAGAGGGAGGCCCTGAAAGGCAGCCCTCTGAAGGGACCCCTGGAAATGGAGCTCTTTGCTCCCCGTGGCTGTTTGCAAGGGATAGAAGAACCATCTTTTCTTCCTCCTCTTCCCTCCACCCCTTTGTCCTGCTCCCTCTTCCTCCTCCTCTTCCTCCTTCCTTCTCTTCCTCTTCCTTTTCTCTTTTTTTCCTCCTTTTCATTCACCTGTTTTCTCTCTATATATAAATTATTTATTTGTGTGTATCATTGATGGGAGGGACTTTTGTCCGTGTGGAAGTCAGAAGACAGCTCTGTGGAGTCAGTTTTCCTCCCACCATGTGGGTTCCAGGAATGGAATTCTTATGGTTCGGCTTGGAGGCAGCGCCTTCACCCGCCATTGCCAGCTCTGCCCATTGCTTCTCCCGTCTTTGTTGCTGCCATCATGGTCCTCTTTCAGTCCAATCACAGACTCTCCAGGAGGCTACAGCCATGTAGACCTCAGGATGGACTGGCCTGCTGTGTCATGTGTCACCTTCTTCACTGACCTGTTCAGGACAGAGAGGGAACTGTGTCTAAGGAGCAGAGTGACCCCTGACCCTTGGTCCATGTTCATGCTGATGACTGAACATCCTGCATGGGGCTCAGGTCTGAGCTTACTGAGCGTATCAGGATGGGGTGGGTGGTGGGGGATAGCCTTGTCATTCACCCATGGCTTTAGTGGCCCCAGCAACACTTACTACACCCCAGGACCCCTCCCCAACAAAATCCAGCTCACTCGCTAGCACTCTCTCTTTTTACAGCCTTGCGAGGGTGGCTGAGTTATTTGTTCCTCCACATGGTGGGGTGAAGGGAGAGAGGTAGAGTCCACCTGTCAGCCTAGGGGAGGGAGGGAGGAAGGGAGGGAATGAAGAGGTGGTCTCCGGCTGGTCCACTCACTGTTTCTGGATGTCTTGAATGGTATCAGGCAGTGGCAAATTCTTGGTCTCAGGCAGCAGCAGGGCAGCTAGGCCACTTAGCACTGACACCACACCGTAGACCAACAGGGGCAGCCAGGGGCCGTAGACACCGAGCAGTGGCACCAGAGGGCCTAGAATGGCTCCCCCTCGGGCTGCTACCTGGCCCAGGCCCACTGCTGTCATCCTGTGGGGGCACATTTGCCTATGAGTCACACTTTTCCTGCCCTGGGCCTTGACCTTTGACCAGGCCCAACTCCACTAGGTCCAGGGAGGCCCAGTGGGCCAGGTAGTGTGGAGGCTTAACTGGGGAGCCCTGAGACCATGTGAAAGGGAAACTCGTGGGGACCCCTCTAGCTATAATGCTCTTTCCTTGAGCCAATGACAGCCTCACCTGAGCACAGTGGGGAAGAGTTCACTGCTCAAGATGGTGCCACAGGTGAAGGCAGCCCCCAGGGACCCCAGCCCCAGCACAGCCAGGGACGAACGAAGGACCCCCATCTCTGTGAACAGTGGTGGTATCAGCAGAGTCTGGCATCCTGTATTCCCCCCGACTGTTCCCTGTCCTTTGTCTGCCAAATGTCACTGAGTCATCCTTCCAGTGTCCCCAATCTCCCCACCCTCTAGCCCCTCAGAACCAGACCCCAGGAGTCTTCCTTGCCTCCCTTCCTCTCCCTCCCTAATCTATTACCGAGTTCCGGGTTAGCTTTCCTGACCGCCCCTACCATTCTAACGTCCATCACTGTTCAACCCCCTGCCACTCTCCTCCATACCCCAACAGCCTCTCTCCTAAGTGTCCTCTGCTGTGGACCCTCACCGTCTATTCTGTTTCCATGCTCCCCGCCCCGCCCAGGGGAGGCAGGAGAGCCTCAGCACAGTTTTGCTTCCTCTTCCTCACCCGCAGCTGAGCTGTAGCTCACCATGGGGCACCAGTATGTTGGCCAGGATGCTGAGTCCTGGCAGCACCAGGGAGCTGGCCTGACAGAGACGTCGGCCCAGGCGGTCGAGCAGCAGCAGGCTGCCTATCTTCACTGGGAGGTCCACAACCCCGACGAGCACCTGAAGCAGGAAGATATTGCTTCCTAAGGCCTGCAGGTTGAGGGCCAGGCCGTAGAAGGTGAAGCCAAAGGCAAACCTAGAAGTGAGGGTCGGTGAGTCAGCCTGGGGTGGCTGTTCTTCCGCTTGCCCTGCTGGCCTTGTCCAGGCCCACCTTAGGCACTGGGAGAGAAGGGCTGGTGGTACCCAGGGAGTAGCCAAGGAGAGAATCTGGGTATTTCCCCCTCTCTCTGCTTGGCACTCCATTTGGGTTGCTATGTCATTGGCTCTCGAGTCCATGGAACAGTTCTTCCCTACAGTCTCTGTGGATTTGAACTTTGCCTGGTGGGGCAATGGGCCGTGTATGCCAGGTACCTCTAAACAAGATGGACCGGCCTGTATGATGGACCAGCTTCGGGTCTGATTCGCCTCTCTAGCTTTCCCAACGTCACCGTTCCTCCCCATTCAATCTCTCATAGGTACCTGGGCCTGCAATCCTTGTCCACCAGCCCACATGGCCTTGCTTGTCTCCTCTGGGAGCCTGACCATAGATAGCAAGGTCCCTGAGCTAAAGGTCATCCTAGAGACATCTCTACCAGTGGCCCATCCCTGGCTGCCTGGTCGCTGTCCTGGCCAGGCTTCCCCATGGCAAGTAGTCTCAGGAAGAAGGGCATCTACCAGCACAGCATGGAGATGCAGGTTCGGAGGCGCAGCCCAGGCGTGTGGAGGAGGGTGCCTAGCCTGGCACGAGTTTGGTCCCCACTCGCTTCCTCCTGCATGGCTGACCGCAAGACCTGTGGGAGTGGGGGTTGTTGGCACCAGGTGTCCATACGCCCTCCCCCAGGGACCCTCCTTCAAGAGCCAGGGCCCTCACTTGACCTCCACGGGAGCTCCTGTGCAAGGCAGGGAGAGGGTCTGAAGGATAGGGGACAGGGTCGAGGGAAGGCCCAGCCTGACTTACCTCTATGGTCAGTGTGTCTCCTTCTGCCTTCTTCCTGTTTATAGCAGCTACCCTTTGTAGTTCCTGCAGGCCCTGGTCCAGCTTGCCCACCGTAAGGAGCCAGCGTGCAGATTCTGGAAGCCACCTGAAGTGGACAGGTGGGGGGGGGCACTGATTGTGGCCTCCATTGTATCACCTTCCCTCCCTGTCCTTCTGTCCCCTCTGCCTAAGTGGCTTCAGGGAATTGTAAACTCCAATCTCAGGGCAACTGAGGTCAATGGAGGCCATAAAGGACAAGGTGGTAGCAGTGGCGTGTGTAGCCAGGCCACCTAGATCACCACCTGTCTCTTTCCTCTCTGAGTTTGGGGGCCCCATGTTCTCTAGTTCCTGAGAAGGCTGCTGGATAGGGAGGGACTTCTTGTTCCTTCCCACCTCCTTGTCACGTGACCCCTCCTCAGCCTTGCCCGAACCAGGCCTGAGTGCCATAGGGACTCCGATGGCTACAGAACCGCAGTGGCTACCAGGGTACCTCGCCATCGTGGTATCTTCCATGTCACACCTGTTCCCTTCTGCCGTCTCCCCCAAGTCGTATTGTCTTCCTGCTGCCAACAGCTTCCCCACTCCCTGCCCAGGCCTCAGGCTGGCGCCAGTGTCTCCAGCATCACCCAGCCCTTTTGTCTGCTCTTCTGTGAGCCCCGATCCCTGAACCCTTCAGTCCCATTGTGCTTGGCTTTCCTGGCCCCTGTCTGTGTCTGTGTCAGGGTACGGCTGCTGGACACCAACTCGCTTCTCAGCATCCAGCACAGCCCACCCCGTCTCTCACCAAACACAGCGCCCCCGTCCCCTGCCCACTTACTTGCTGTACTGAACTGCTCAGCCCCCAAGTCTTTGGTAGTGAGCACCACACAGCATTGCACCTCCCTCCAGGCCTCTGATCACCAAAGACCCCTCCCGCACCCAGAAGGACATGCTGCCCCCTTTGAGCAGCGAGTGGGAGAAGCCATCTGTTTTATGTCCACTAGGACCCTGATCCCCACCCCCGGGATTTGAAGGACAAGGGAGGGAAGGGAATGCCAAGTACAAGTAGAGGACATGATTCTTAGTGACCTGTTGGCCTTGGGTGACCTGGACAGTGACTGGGGAGAGGCTTTCTAGTCCCACTGGGAAACTAGGTAGGAGGAGGCAGGGGTGAGGAGGGGTCAGGGCTGAGGAGAGGTCAGGGTGAGGAGGGGTCAGGGTGAGGCGGGGTCCTGCAGGTAGTTGGAGACTTGAGGCTGGAGCTAGGAGTCAAGGTGGCACTGGGGATGGTGCGGGTGGGAGTAGGGGTGGGGATGAGGCAAGTTGAGGCAGAGGTTTGGGGTCTGCAGAGTATGAAAGGGGCTAGAGTGACTAGCAAGATCCCCTGAGGAGGGAGCATGGACAGTGACCCCAGTTTGTTGCTGGGCCACCTGGCTTGTTGAGGGTGAGCTGGAGCAGGGAGCATCTGGGCTTGGGCAGCTGGGATAAGCATCACAGGCTCCAGTGGCTTCCTTCAAGCCCAGGTGGTCTTGACCCCCAGAGCTCCTAAGCCCTCTGTCTGCAGAAAAAGGGGAGTCTCCCACATTGAACGCCCTCACGAGAGTGGGCGGAGCCTTTTTCAAGGAGAAGGCTGCGGCACCCACCATGAATATACAAAGTAGAGGAAGAAGGGGGCAGAGACAGCCAGCTGCAGCATCCTCCAGTTGCGCACACCGTAGGCCACAGAGCCTGTCAGGATATGCCCAAAGCTGAAGCCCACGGCATTCAAGGTCATCATCAAGGGGCGGGCCTGGGCTGATGTCCACTCCGTCACTGCAAGGTGCAAGGAAGGGGGTCAATCCTGGGGCCTGCATACAGCCTTCCCAACCCAGCCCCAACTGGGGGACATACAGAGACTGGCTGTGTTCATCATGATACCTGCCACTGCAAAGGCCACCAGGAAGCGGAACAGGCAGTAGAGGGGGAAGATGGGGATGAAGGCAGCTGTTGTGCCAGACACAGCTGCCTGAAGATAGCTCCAGGTCAGCACCCTCCTCCGCCCGAACCTGTGGGGCACATGGGGAGACATGCCATTGGCCAGCAAAGAACCCACGAAGAGCTGTCTTGTTCCTGCCCCCTGAGATGAGGAAGGCGCAAAGCCAGACATGGGCCAGACGCACATTCTTTACCCACGGGAGGGCTGTGAGCATGAGGGTCAAGGCAGAGTTGGCAGCAGCACCTGAGCAATGGCTAAAGGCTGGTGTGGGGCAGAGCAGACTTTAGCAATGAATATTTGGAGAGAAACGGTGCGAACCTGTCAGGTCCATTCAGGAGAGCCTGCCGGGACCAGTTGGGCATACTCACCTGTCGGAGGCGTGGCCGCACACTGCAGCTCCTACCAGGATTCCAGCCAGGTAGATGGACTGGGCCATGGGTCTCAGGGCCTGGGAATCACACACCAGGTCCCACTGGAGGAAAAGAGGGCCAGAGTTGACATCAAGAGGAGGGCAGTCCCGGCAGAAGGGGCAAAGGAGAAGGGAGCCGAGGCACCCACATGTTTAGTAACTTGGTCTCTTAAGGAGTATCCTGTCACCCTAACTACTGGGTCAAGACCCCTTTAGCCTTATCCGCTCTCTCCTGAGCCATGGTTCTTGCTGAGAACCCTCCACCTTCCCTGGAGGCTTGCTTCCTCTTGCACACACACACACACACACACACACACACACACACACACACACACAGTCTCTCTCTCTCAGGGTCCTTTCTTCCTGCTTGCTGGTGCAGCTGCCACTCTCCATTGGCTTGGGCTGTCTGACTCCTCTTTTTTCTTTTTCTCTTCCTCCTTTTCTTGTGTGTGTGTGTGTGTGTGTGTGTGTGTGTGTGTGTGTGTGTGTATGTGTGTGTGTGTGAGAGAGAGAGAATGTGCATGTGTGTACATGGCATAGTTCTTGCGAAGGTCAGAGTTCAATCTCTGGAGCAATCTACCTTATGTCTGTGACACGGTCTCTCGTTGAACCTGAGGCTCACCGATTAGACTAGGCTGTCTGTCTAGTAAGCTCCGGGGAGCCCTGCTGTTTCTGCCTCTCTAGAGCTGGAACTATAGTCATGTCACCACTAGGCTCAGCTTTTCCATGGGGACTGGAGAGCTGAACTCGGGTCTTCATGCCTTCAGGCAAGCAGTTTGCTGATTTATCTCCCCAGCCCACCAACACCTCTCAGGAGAGGTCAGTGCTCAGCCTTGAGACAGCCAACAGGTTCCTCTGACTGAGTGACCTGGAGTCACAGCCCAGGCTCGGCTATAGGTGAAGCCATTGGGCAATGCAGAAACAGGGGTGCCAGTCTGTGTAGACATAACTCACTGTGTAGCTCAGGCTGGCCTCAAACTCACGATTACCCTCCTGCCTCCCGAGCACTGGGGTCACAGGCATGATCAACTAAGTCTAACCTGGCAGGTGGACTCCTACTGCCCAGTCCCCTGTAAGTCATGGTTGCCCCTCAGTGAGAAAGCCTGGGGAGGTGTATTCTTTCTAAGACTGGAACAATTGTGTCAAGCCAACTGTGACTGTGAGTTTGACCTCCCGAGTGCTGTTACCGTGGTCACGATTGTGGACGTGAAGGTACTGTGGTCGTAGACCCAGCCATCCCCACATGGCTCGGTGTCTCCGTCACTCCAGTTGGTGGCTGTGGTGTTGGGCTCCATAAGCTGCCACTGCGGTTGGCGGAAGCGACGGCACGGATGGGGTTGCAGAGCAGGGCCAAGTGGGATGGAGATGGTCAGGAGGGCATTGGGCCCAAAGTCCCCAGAGACACTTGCCTGGGCAGTGCTGTTGTCCAGCAGAGGCACCCAGCACCGGTGGCGGGGCACGGCAGCTGAGAAGTTCTCCAGCATGTTCTGGCTGGTGACCCATAGGATGGGGGTCACCAGAGCCACGATTTGAAGGACCTGGAACCTGCCCAGGCCTCCTACTCGGTCCAGGAGTTCAGGAAACGCCATGGATTTCTCCAGGATGCCAGCACTTCACGGAGACTAGCCCAGGACAGCAGGGTCAGTCTGGTGAGCCTCCTTCCCCCACGGTTCTGCCCACACCCATCTCCTCAGGTGCCTGTCAGGGTAGCTGTGCCACTGAGTCAGAGCAAACAAGACTCTGGAATCTGCCTGCTGGCTGTTACTAGGAATGGCTCACCCTGAAGACCTGGATGCCCGGCTGTAATCTGGAGGCCATTGGGGACCTCGCAGAGAAACAGCAGACCCTAGCTCCCTGAAAAAAAATTTTGGGAAGCAAGGAGGGAGGGGACAGAAGTCACTCTGACCAGAATTAAAGTGTGACTGGGAGCCGTTTAATAGGAGAGAGTTTAGTAACCATTCCTTCAAAGTTTAACCAGGTGACTACATTGCAAGGGAAAGACCTGCCTTCTCCCTCCGCCTGCTTCACCGTCCTGGCCTCTGTCAGGTGTGGGACCTGGGACCCAGTCCTGCCACTAAGGGTGTTGGGGGCTGTCAGCTCTCAGTGTTCCTACCTTCCTTACAGGGACATCATAACTGTGGTGTGATCTAAGCCAGGAGAGGGTGGGCCTGGCTTTGCAGTCTCAGGGATGGAATGATCCTAGCTCGAGTGGTGTCCTATACTTGGGGATTTGTGGGTCCCATGCCACCCAATCTATGAACCTCACTAGTCTCCTGAGGCTGCCACTGCTCCTGCCCTCCTTCACTGATTCTCTGTACTGAGGCCCTTCAAGACAAGTGTCCTAACCTTTGTCTCTTCCCAGGTCTCCTTGTCTTAGGATCAGTTTTTTGCCCATCGTCACATGGCCCGCAGTCTGGATGGACTCACAGTTGACACCCCGGCTCCTCAGCTCCCAGTCTCACAGGTCTCTAAGCTGAACTAATTCCAAGGATTTCTCCCTTGGCCTCTCCTTTGTCCCCTCCACCTGTCACCACACTGCAAAACCTCACACTAAATCCTGCATTAAGCACCAGGAGCCCTGGTCCTCTAGAGGAGCAGCAAGCACTTGCCCTCTCCAGCTCAGTTTGACTGCTGTTGGGTGGAGAACAACCCGACCAAGGGGCATGTGTGGAGGCAATGTCCCCCAGGAATCCATGGGAGTGACCATGCCAACAGAAATAGAAAGGCAGGAGAGAAGCCTGGGGGCACCAGGCTCACCTACCTGTGGGCATCAGGCTCACCTACCTGTGGGCACCAGGCTCACCTACCTGTGGGCACCTACTGGCTTTGGTTCAGGTAGTTCTGGGAGTGGAAGAGGAAAAACTATGGTCAGGTGGTGGGTGATGGGGTCAGTCGTAAAGGTGAGGAGCCCCGGGGAAGTGAAAATCGGAGTGAAGTGACTGTCCCCAGCTCTGACTGGGTTGAGCTCAGCATATCCCTGAGCCATTCAGGTGGTGGCACCATGGTGTGACTTGGGAACATGTGGAGTCATAAGCCAACTGAGCTCACCCAGCCAGACACCTTTTATAGAAAGAGGAACGTTGGAGGTCAAGCCCTTCACCACTCGTGGAACCGGATACCAGCAAGAGGGTGTGAGGACAGGAATCTAGCCCAGTACCTGAAGCAGGGTGGACATTAATGCTGAAGACAGGGGAGGACTTGGGGACTGGACCTTGTCATGTGAACTTCCCTGATGACTGTGTCCCAAGGGATTGCTGCAAAGGGTGGGGTGAAATCCAGCCAGGTGCAGGGGTCACATGAAGACTGGAAGACAGGAAGTGGGATCAGGTATACAGGCAACCCATTTCAGGATCGTCCAACAAGAGGCTGGAGAATGGGAAATGGCGTGAACCAGCCATCCACTGATCTAACAAACAGTCCCTAAGATGATTCTCAAAGTCTTCCTTGTTCTCCTTCCAAAATAAGGTCTTGTGTAGCCCAGGTTGGTCTCAAGCCTAGCTCCACCTGCTGAGTGCCGAGATTACAGGCAGACATCACCTCTGCTGGTTTATGCATTGCCGGGCATTGAACCAGGGTTTCAAGCATGCTAGGCAAGCACTGTGCCAGCTGAGCTGTAGCCCCAGCACGCTGTGTTTGTGAGACAAGTTCTCAGGTAGCACTCGAGCTCTCTAGGCAGCCAAGGAGGGCCTTGAACGCCTGCTCCTGATGCCACCACCTCCCGAGTGCTGGATAGGTTACACTACCGTTCCTGACACGGAACCTCTTTGAAAACAAAAACATTTTTTACTGTGCATATATATGGGCGGCAGTGGTGATGTGTGTGCGCACACACGTGCGCGTGCCTGTGTATGCAGGTGCTGACAGAGGCCAGAAGAGATGCAGAAACCCTAGAACTGAAGTTACAGGCAGTTGTGAGTTGTTGGATGTGGGTGTGGGGAACTCCAGTCCTCTGAAAGAGCAGTACATGCTCTCAACTGCTGAGCCATCTATTCAGTCCAGAAGTTTCTGTCTTAATTGTGAAAACCAGGTGGTTGCTACAGATTTCTGGATGACTGTCCTCGCAGGGAATGCAGCCCCTTCCTGCTGTGGCCCCACATTGTCCCCTGAAGTCACTGGGCTCATGTGTCAACCATAGAGGGCAAGAAGGTACAGTGAATCTACCTGACTTGGCCTTTATTTGCTAGAGTTGAAGGTGACACACAGTAATTCTGCCCCCTGTTCGGTGGTGAGAGGTGTGGGTGGGAGACAAGATGGAGGGGCTGTGGACAGTAAGCTGCCATCACTCTAGGGCGAATGCATCATCAGTGTTTGTTTGTGAGAAGACAGGATAGCTGGCTCATGTGCCAATGGAAGTCCCTGGTTAGAAATTGGGACCTTGATGACTGGTAGACGTGGGGACATTGGTTGCAGCCAGGTTCCTTGAGCCCCAAAGGGGTAGGCCCTGGAGTCCAGTGGGGGGTGTGGCCTAGCTGCGGAAGTGGAGGTGCTCCTGGGGCTCCAATGAATGGCCCTTTATCATAGGGTATTGGGAAGACAAGGTGACATAAGAGGCAGGTAGTGGGGTATGGGGACATTGCAAGTTTGAGTACAGAAGAGATGTGTGCCTTGGGGGATTCACCTGCTGTCCCTTCAAGGCCTGTGATAAGATTTTGTAAGTGGGCCCAGGGTCCTCTCCAGCCTGCTTCTACCTTTAGCACTGGTCATGGAGGGCTTTGACCAGTGGCCAAAGGAAGCCTGGGAGAGTGTTTTGGGGAATATTATTTTAAGGTGTGTTGCTTTTGTTTATGCTGTATTTGTTTAACTCTGTGAAGCTGTGATTCTTTGCCTGTCTGAAACACCTGATGGCCTAATAAAAAGCTGAACAGCCAATAGCAAGGCAGGAGCAAGGGTAGGCTGGGCTGGCAGACAGAGTATAAATGGAAGGAGAAACGAGGAAGAGGAGAGGCAAGAGAACAAGGAAAGGAGGAAGGGCATCAGGGGCCCTCCACCCAGCAAGTCACACAGCAAATCATGGAGAAAGAAGTAAAAAAAGGTATACAGAAATAGAGAAAGATAAAAGCCTAGAGGCAAAAGGTATTCAGGATAATTCAAGATTAAAAAGAAGCTGACAAGAAACAAGCTAAGCTAAGATCAGGCATTCATAACTAAGAATAAGCCTCTGTGTGTGATTTATTTGGGAGCTGGGTAGTGGGCCCCCCAAAAAGACAAAAGATTAAAGCATCACACTACATTGAGGCACCCAGTGCGGGGCTCGAATATCCATCTAGAACCTAAGAAACATGGAGAAAGAAAGAAAGAAAGAAAGAAAAGAAAGGAAGGAAGGAAGGAAAAAGGATAGGGCTCCTTTAAGAGGCATGGCTGTTCAGCCGGCAGTGATAAATAGAAACTAGAAACATCCAGCTAAGTAAACCATTTATGACAATGCAGGTACCGGCTTCCACAGTTAGAAAGGTTTAATGAAGTTTTTGGTCATGAACCTCCAACCAGGGTGCAAACTTTGGGCTTGGCTTTCATGACTGGATCCGAGAGTGGGTGGAGTCAGCTACAGGGCATGTGGAGGACCCAGGTGTAGCTTAACAGTCTAAAGTTTGCTCATGCGGCCAAAAAAGGCTAAAAGATACGCAGTAAAAGAGGCCCACATGGAAAAACCTCTAAACAGGTTCCAGTGTGCTTTACAATGTGAAAGAAAGAAAATGGGTATAGGCGGTTATAGAAAGAAATAAAGAATTAAAAAAATGAAAAGTAGTAAGAGTAATATAAAAGAGAAAGCCACCTTAAAGATGGGAACACACAGGGAGTCTGGATCCCATATAGCATTATGTTGACTTTGAATTTTTTGATTGCTGAAGAGCAGAGGACAGCTGCTGAGAGACCTGGGGTTGAAAGAGGGACTGTGGAAATAAACCAGCCCGGATATTTTAAGAATGGCTTAACTTTTAAAAAGTCAAAAATGTATTTGTCAACATCCATGGAAATCAGTGATGCTTTGGAGAAGTGGTTTTGCTTTTGTTACCACAGGAAATCAAGAGGCTGTGGATTCATTCGAGGTTATTTGGATCTGGTTTGATCAGGGGAGACCTCCTGAAACTTGACAGGTGATACTTACCAACAGGGTTTTAACTGGTCTTCCCAGGACTTGGCTGTTATCTCAGATTTTCTCTCTGGGAACCTAAAAATACTTCACACACACTCAGCAGAACACAAGATCCACATCTCAAGAGAAAAGGGAGTGGGGGTGGTCTTTGGTTAGTTGTGGGTCATGAATGTTTGTTATATTTAGGGGGATATACGAATATGGGATAAAAAGACAACTATCAACCTCAGATATTTTGTATTGGTATGGATTTTGATATATTGATACATATTTAAATTCAATTTTGCTATGCTGTATATATGTTTTCGCTCTTGTTTAAAGGACTTTTGTATATTGATACAAATTTAAGGCAATTTTTGTTACAACACACTGTCTATATGTTTCTATTCTTGGTTAATTTTGTATTAAGGTTTTTTGTTACAACATATTGTATAATGTTTTTGCTTTTGTTTAAGGTATTGTACTTATGCAGTTCATTTAAAAATGTAAGGTAAA